GGGATGAGCACACCACCCTCCCTCTCCTGCCTCCCACTGAAACAAGCAGCTGGGCAGAAAATGGTTGACGCACAACTGAATCAAAAACTTAAAAATAGTTCCCCACCCGAGTCCTATTTTCTGTTTTGTCAAGTCCTGAGGGCAGGTGTGGGGAAACAGTGGGATGCAAATTGCTTGCTGAGAACACTCAGTCAAGGAGCCCTGCCAAGAACCCCAGGCTCCAGACCTCCCAGGCTGCCCTGCAGACAGCATCTCTCCTACCAGGGCTGAGCATAAAGGTGTCCGGTGTCCTTTCACCAGGAGGAGGCCAGGCCAGGTGCTCCAAAGGCCCCATGCCCATTCTGCACCCAAGGCCCAGATGGATTCTGCACAAGCCAGCAGGGAGGGGAGGAAGTTGGGGAGGCAAAACTCCAGGTGGCTGCTGGGACCAACAGCACTCCTGTGTCTGGCAGCAGCTGCAACACTGGCTGTCTGGCAGGCTCTCCAGCAAGAAGGGGCCGTTTTGAGTTCTTTCCATGGACTACCCCAGGAAACCTTCCGGCCTAAGGGAGAAAATCGAAGGGACTATATAGTGTGAACCTCAAGTTGAAAGAAGTGATCCTGGCTCCCAAGCAATGCCCCACTGCAGGTTCTGATGCAAGGTATGACTCTAGGTCCCTCCTCCACATTCAGAAATGCCAAGCCACTTGGGTCATGGTTTGGGGTATACTGGACAGAGAGGGACTGGTATCAAACACCTCTTTGAAATTCCACCTACTGGCCATGGGTCCTCGGGCAAGTCCCTTCCTGTCTGACCTTCCTTTTTTCTCACCTGCAAAACTGAGTAATTCTTATCTCAAAATAATGTGGGGATTGCAAGGCTGTGCAGAGCAGGATCTGATATACAATACCTGACAAATATGTGTCGGTGTGCTTCCTTTCCTTCTGTGACCAACACACATTTTGTCAAAAAGTGATCCAAAATCTAAAATTCTGGGCATCCGTGTGATTAAAGCTAAGAACAGTGGTTCTGATGGAGGATCTAACCATTCAAGAACTGCACTAGGGGCTCAAGAACAATCCACATTTTATTTATAAAGGAATATGACATGGTAACATAGTCGTAAATTCACAGTAGTGATTTATTCTCTGTATGTAACAAGATCCATAAAGCAAAAACACTACCCAGAAATACTTAACATCACTTTATTCTAGCAGGGTCTCTGCTGCAGGATGATTTAAATAAATATACTGATATTTCTGTGCTACTTTTAGTGACCAATCACTGGTTATTTTTTCTTTCTTTCTTTTGGTAAGTTATATTAAGAAATAGATAGTAAGGCTTCCAGGGTAGTGAAGTTTGAGTAGTAATTCTCATAGAGCTTGACCTTTCTTTGTTTCTTGCCGTTTTCAGGTTATAGGATCCCAATGCAAGAATCTAGCTACTAGGAAATCTCTCAAATAGGGCATCTGTAGCAACACAAACACCCTCAGGCATCCAGCCACATACACATTCACAAGTATCCGCTGAGACATACACCCACCTGCCACAGGTAAGACGGAAGTTAAGATGGCTATGTACATACGTGCCATCTGCCTGTTACGCAGAGAAATGCTCACATCTATAGGAAAAAAAAACACACACACACACCATGTAGGGGCCTTCCACAGCTGAGCTCAGGTGGAAAAGGGTAAACCAAAGGCTCGACTTTGCTGGTTTCACTGTGTGTCTGGAACATTCACTTGGTCCACAGGGTGGTGGTGAGGGGAAGCAGGCAATCAATTCCTATCATCCAAGCTGCTGGTGGGATACCAGAGCTATAAACTGTATAAATATGTGCACTTGAGAAGATGACAGGCAAAAAAAGGAAACAGACCACCACCATTGACTGTCCCCAGAAGGGACAGGGTGAGCACCTCATTCCTCTCCAACACATGCTAGCATGGCTGGTCTCGAAAAGGGAGTCCCTAGCTCCCAGCAATGAACAGCAATGCAGCCAACACACCAGGGCCACCTGGCTCTCACCTTGTGCTATTAAGAATTGGTCATCTTTGTAGATTTCAAGAGGACAGAGGAAGAAAGGCAGATAATAATAGTTCAGCCCCAAATGGGTGGTCAAGCATTTTCTCTACGGCTTACTTTATGAACTTCAGCAAAACGATGATGCATTTTGATTTAATAGTACATGATAGTACAAAGAATGGATAACTCTCCAACTTTCTCTTTTCCAACTCCCAGAAGGCAGGCTTTTACAAAATCTAACATTGAGTTCATGGACTATTAAAAATTGTCATATTTTTTGAAAGTACATACTTATCATGAACAAAAGTTCCCTATTGGTTAACACTTCACCAGGGAAGCCAGCAATCTGAGACCTATACTCCTCATTAAGCTCTTCTTTCACATTTAATGTTAGATTTTAATAACTTAGGTTGAAAGTTATAGAAAATCTATAAACATTTAAGGTAAATGAAATCCTATCTCCTCTCATAGGAACATACACTCTACTAGCCTTGGGGCACCGTTTTGCCCCATTAGAAAGAACAGCCCGCTGTTTCCAAGAACTGAAATAAAAATTTATTGTGTTCAATTGTGCGATGCAGCTTTCTGCAACCTTACATTTTTTAATGCCATCTACATAGTTCCCATTGCACCAGTAACTCTAGCTATTAAGATGTCGAAAGTACAAAGGCTTTATAAGGATCCTGTATTTGATTTTGTTACTCTTTCAAGAAGGACTCAATACAAAGTTCGTGTAAAAAAAAATCGATATTCAATTTAAAACAGAAACAATAATTTCAGAAAGTCTGACATTCTCCTGTACAAAGAGTGGAAGAGGGAGACGATGGGGAGAGGAGGAGAGAGAAAATAAACTCCTTAATTTAAACCTTTCTTCACCCTGCTGGGAATGTACATGCCAAAGTGAATGAATCCAACTTAACTCCTTCCAGACTGGTAATTTAAGATACGGTTGGAAGCCCAGTATTTTAAAATGCTAATGAACAGTATCATTACTGACTCTAGGTACACACGTTCACGGCACTTCCCAACTGCACCGTATTCATGGCACAGTGGCTGGTCTGAGATGTTCTCTTTACGTGGCCCAAATCTCACATATATTCACCCTCTCTTATCCTACCTATGAAATATTTCCTGAGAAAGACATCATAAGGAATTTCCAGTTTGAAGGGACCCAGAGGCAAAAACGAAGAACAAAAAGCACCATGGTTACATGGTATGTGTTTTTCATAAACAGAACCATGCTGTTGAATCGTACATCCTGGCTCCACGCCACACCCACAGCTTTCTCCTCCTTTCTTCTCCAACCCATCTTTTTGAGCTGAAGGCTGTTGAATCAAGAACAATGTTAACTTTTTCAGGTACAGTTGTAGTTACAGATATCTCAAAGCCAATTTTAATTTTAAAAAGGACCCACAAAATACCACGCCGTTTGCAGAATGCATGGAATGGCAAGTGCGTATGCAGACACATTGAACAACAGACATTTTAACGCTGCCATCCTCCACTGAGACGAGATAACTGGTCACCCTAAATATTGGGGAAAGGGAAGAATGATTACTTTTAATAGGTTCGCTGCAGATAAAGGAGGGTAAACAGAAGCACAAACAACTGAAAGGTATCTAGATGTGGCTCCTGAAGGCACTCCCCTGCAGCAGGATTTTGCCCAAGACAGATCCCCTGCCCACAGTTTGCAGCAGCTTGGGGAGAGCCCTCAGAAGCCAGCTGCCTTTAAGGAACAGATCACAGAAGAACCATTTTGAACTAGAAGATTAGCTCCCTAATCTCCTTGCCCCATACTCTGTAGCCTCCTCCATTTTCCTTCTCTCCACCTGACCAACAATTGAACAATTGATATATCAGGAACCAAGCAAGCCCCCAAGCAAGTGGCTGAGGTGATAAGTTGCACAGTGACCGTGGTCAGAAAACAACAGGGACTGGCCAGCAATAGTTGCCAGTGTGAACGGCATTGTTTGGTCTCCCTTGGCAGGGCAGTTTGAGTTGCATAAGAACTTATTGCCCTAGGAAATCAGATGGCTTCAAATGGCACCTGCCCACCTCAGAGTCACAATGTTAGTCTCCCCTAGTTGGTATGGATCCATGGGGAGAAGGACAGGGTAGGGTGGAGTGGAGCTCCTGCTGCAGCCTAGGAGGGCATGCCAGTAGGTCTGCTCTACTGGGTTCTACCTGGTGGGCCATACTTCCCTGTGGAACCCAAGAGCCTGTGGGCACATGTGGAGATCTTTGGAGGGCTGAGCTTGCCTAGCCAGGGTTGCCCGTCAGGTAGGGCCATGGTATGTATGTATGCTACAGAGGGTGGGATGGAGTGAAGTCCAGCTGGGCGATCCCAGGGAGACAGGAAAGGGCTCCCTGGTTGAACGAGCAGAGGAATGGGATCAGAAACAGAGCAGGAAGGTTTTCTCTTTGAAAAAACAAAAAGTTAATCACTTAATAGCTGTTATCTGATAGTGCACATTGTGTGTGTGTGTGTGTGTGTGTGTGTGTGTGGAGGGGGGATCTTTCTCTGAGGCATCTAAGGCAACAAAGAACAAAGATGAAGGCTAGGAGTCTCTGGAACTGCCCGTGATTCCCACACGGATGTGCAGTGTCTGGTGAAACAGAATCAGATGGGTCCCCTAGAATCCAGAGGAGGTTGACCAGAAGCAACGGGGGATGTGGTCCTGGATCTGGACGAGAGGCAGGGACTAGTTGTAAGGCGAGGCTCCCGAGGACGCAGCAGCTCCGCTTTGGTTTACAGCCGTCACAGACTCCAGAGAACGGCTTTTTGAGAAGTCCCCTCTATGAAAGTCAGGGGCCACCAGTCACTTTTTGTCAGGATGGCTATCCCCTGCTTCCTTACAAATAAAGTGCAGATGGTCAAAGGATACTGGTCTATCATCTGCCAGTTTCAGTCATCAATGAAGAATAAAAAAACTTTTTTTTTTTTTAAAAAAGACACCCCTCTGGACATATATATCTCTCTATATATTCTTCTTTTTATATAAAGACACAAATATAGGACTTTTAAACTGATGTCTCAGATTGTAGGCGAAGAACGAATTTGTGAGATTTGGGGTCTATGAACTCTTCGGAGAGGACGATGAATGGAATTTTCTTCACATTGACTACGAGGCTGAAGTCCAAGCATTTAAGGACGAAAACGATTCCATCCCGTAACCCGTTCGTCACCGCCTCGTCACTAATCAGTCTCCACTGCGTAGACAGCCAACGCTCCTTGTCATACTGCAAGGTGGGTCCCGCGCTGAGGTATCGTTCTAAGAAGGCCTGAAAGGAGAGAAAGATGGTTATGGAGGAAATATAATCCAAGGGGAGTCCTGCCAGCAGCCATCTGCACACCTAGGAATATGTTTTCCAAGTACAACAAGACCTCAGGGCGGTGCTTTTCTGGCCACAGCAAATTCCCACCAGATCCTCCCAGTTGAGTCATTACTGAGGAGGGGAGACTTCTTGGACTTCCTCATTCCCCTGTGCCAATCTCCAACCAGAAGGTGAGGTGGTGGTTCCCACAGACGTGGGAATGTGGGGTGGCTGGCAGCCATGGTTACTTGGAAGTCATTGTGACTCCAAGGGCTGGACCCCTCTGCTTATACTCCTCTACCTCTTTCAACTAAACCAAGTATGCCTTGGGGTCAGGGTAAACAGCAGGCCCAGAGAAGTACTCAGTAAATATGAATAGTATACTGAAAAAGCAGATCAGCATTCTAGCATGGACCAAAGTGTGTGTTTCATGACTTACTGATATCATGACCTTGCTCCAGATATTTCCCTTCTCCTTAGGGGGACATAACAGGGCTTCCAGGAAGAGGGGAGGGTTAGTTCTCAGAAAGTACTCAGAGCCCTGCCTGGCATGCAGTGAGCTCGATCACTGTGAACACTGTTACTGCACGTTGAACTGAGTGCCTACTTAGCCAGCCAATGTTCCCCTTCCCTCTCGTGGGCTCTTGCTCCACGATACCTAACTCCCTGGAGTATTCTGGCTGAACTCCATCTTCCTAAGTATTATTCCTCCTGCTAAACACTGTTGTTTTCAGCAAATTCCTCCCTGTCCTCCAAATCTTCTCAAACCATGTCTCTGAATCTCTCAAATGGGATTCACATGCCCTTCTCAAAGCTCCTATAATCACTGGCATGGTCCCATGTGACATTTATTTTCTGGACAGTTATTGCTGACTTCACTGTATCGGAGAGCAGGAACTGTTTTTCTTTCTTTTTTTTTTTTCACATTTGAATTTCCAATGTGTGTGGCATAGACTAGGAGCGCCATAGCATATATATGAAATCAAATGCAGACACTGATTAATCTGTGAGAAGAAACTAAGAAGAAGGCAGAAATACATATAGAAAAATACTGGGATATATCAATCTAGTCTTAAATAGAGATCAAGGACAGTTTCCCCTTCCATCCATACCTCTTTGCTACTGCCAGGTACATTATTTCTGATCTGTGGTGCGGCATCTTTTCTAAGGCAGAAAGTGGGGGTCCAGCTTACTTTCTCACTTCTAATATAAAAGTAGCTCTTATGAATCATAAGAAAAAGAAATGCCTCATAATTAGAGAAATGATTCTAATAACCTATAGAAGAATTATCACTGATAGAAAATAATATGAAAATTTTGCTATCACATTAATAACTAAAGAAATCTATAATAATAAAACCTTTCCTCCTCTCAGATGGTCAATGATTAAAAAGCATGATAATGCCTCATGCTGCCAAGAATGTGGGAAAATACAAATTCGCAGATGCCACAGGCAAATGCAGGAAAAGAAAACCCCCCCTGAGAACATAATTTGGCAGAATCTGTAACTTTGATCCTGTTGTTTCTCTATTAGAAATTTATCCTTCAGATATGAAATACTGACAGAGATACATATGTAAAAAAGTGTCTCTCACTTCAGCCCATTAGGCCAGGGGTGGAGAGACTTCTCTACAAATGCCAACAGTTGCAGCTTTTCCAGCAACACTCTATCCTAACTCCTCCGCTGATAGAGCAAAAGCAGCCACAATGGTATGTCCAGAAAGGGCGTAGCTCCATCCTATACAATGTGATTCACAAGAACAGGCAGCCTCTGGCTTTGAATAATGAACCTCTTAATCCAAATGTGCATCAATAGGCAATCAGTTAAACAAATCATGGTATCTGGGAAGAAAAAATCATAGAGCTTTACATGAAAAAAGCAGGTTTCCAAAATATATACATGGAGTGTGATTCCATTTCTGATTTTAATTTCGCGTGCGCGCACAAACACACACACACACACCTATACCTGAATGGATACACACCAACTTAACAGAAAGAACTGTTGGAGGTGGGGGATGAAAATGGCAATTATTCTACTAGACTTGTCCTTAGTATTTGTATTTTTATGCTAAAAATACCTATTATTTTTAACTCAGAGAAGTGTAGGCATTTTAAACAAAACAGGAAGCAAACAGGAAACTAAAAAAATCTTGAAAAAGGGAGAACAACTGTTTGTTCTACAGGATACAAGCCAAGGCTCTGTATACGCAGACTTAATTTTCTTCATTTGCAAACAGTGTAGGTACTTTGTTGCATTCTGCTTTTTGTAACTTAATACTCTTAACAAAAATTTTGCCCCACATTTCAACAGGTAATATGCCATAATTTGTCAATCACTGTTCTGTTTTTAAATTATTTCCAGTTTTGAGTTATGACAGGTTATTTTGCAAAATAAATAAAAACTTCATGTATATTCTTGTATATAATCATCCCTGCGTATCCACGGAAGGACAGGTTCCAGTCCCAGTTCCTCTTCAGATACCAAAATCAGGGAAAGCTCAAGTCCCTCATAAAAGGAAGTAGTATTTGTATATAAGTCACACACCCTCCTCTATTCTTTATTCTTTGAATTACCACTAGATTACTTACAATATCCAATACAATGTAAGTGCTATTCAGAAAGTTGTTATTCTGCATTGTTCTGGGAATGATGATAAGAAAAAAACTGTGTGCGTGTAAAGATGCAATTTTTTTTCCTGAATATTTTTCATGTATATGGAATTTATAGGAGTGGAACTCACAGATATGGAGAGCTGATCGCTTATCAGATTGTGCTGAATATCTTTCCTAGGAAAGGGATTAGTGAGTCTCATATGGAAAACCTTATTTCTTACTGAATATTTCAGTATTTCTTTCCTACAGGCTGTAGGACTGATAATAGAACCAGCAGGATCCTCATATGGTGCAATATGCTCCTATGTATAAATAGCTTCCAAATGTTACATATGCACGATGCCAAGCTCAGTCACTTGTACCATGTGATCTACATTTACATATCACCATACTTGATATCATTCTTAACAATCCAATGAGGTAGATATTATCCCTATTTTATAAAACAAGCCACGAGTGTAGAATAACTTGTGCACAGCCACAACCAATGTGGTAGGTGGGACCAGAATTTGAATCTACCACTGTCTAAAGAGATGGCATATGCTAATCTGACTCTACTTTGCCTCCTTGGCCACAACTCTCTATTATTATATGGATGTTCTTTAATATCCCTAAAAGTATATTGATTCATAATCCAAAAGACCATTCAGGAAAATGAATTCTACAATATAGAAAATTCCCAACAAAATGATGGCATGATTTTGATCAACAGCAATGGCTATTTCATTGTCCTTATCATGACAGGTGCTATTTTAAGCATTTCATATAAATTAATTCTTTCATCTCTCATAGTGACCAAGTGAGGTAGGCATTACTATTATCGCCAGTTTTCAGGTTAGAAAATTGAGACACAGAGACATGTGGTATTTGCCCAAGGCTGCACGGCTAGTTGGAGGAGGAGGAGCCAGGTTAGAATAAGTCAATTCAGCTCCAGCACCCACAGAGCAGCCCTGACCACCAATCTATCCTATTTCTAGGTAGAAATTCTTTCCTCTCCTAGAATGTAGAGGACTTTGAAAGGCAGATTTAGAAAACAATTGTACTAAGGTAATAGACAATGAATAAGAATCACTAATTCTTATTCCTTGGTGTTTTAGAGAAGGTTTTCATTTTGTCATCCCTTTTACCACCTGGATTAGGCTGAGCATCTCTAATCCAAAGATTCAAAACCTAAAATGGTCCAAAACCCAAAACTTTCTGAGCACTGTCATGATGCCACAGCCTGATAGCCAATGTACAGAAACTCTGCTTCATGCACAAAATAATTTAAAATTCTACATAAAATCACCTCCAAGCTATGTGTATAAGGTGTTTATAAAGCATAAATGACTTTCCTAGTTAGACTTGGATCTTATGCCCAAGATATCTTATTAGGCTCATGTGAATGTCCCAAAATTTGGGTGAGGGGAGCCCAGATGTGAAACATTTCTGGTTCCAAGCATTTTAGATAAGGGATACTCAAACTAATAACACCCTGAATCCTGACTGGTCATGTTTGGTGATGAATTGGGCCGACAGCACCAGCCAGCCGAGGAGCGCACCTTGGGCGTCATGCTGTTGGTGATGCAGAAGGCCAGGTGCTGCAGGATGCTCTCCATGCTGTGGTAGTGCTGCTGCCGAGTGGTGCGCAGATACTTCTGCAGCGCCCTGGCCATAGAGGGGAAGATGGCCTGCGCTGCCTCCCGAGGGTCCATCACCTCCCCTGGGGCTTTCTGCTGCTCCTCAGCCTGGAGACGCTGGATGTGGATGAAGGCCTCTTCCACTGCCACCACCAGCCTGGAAAGTGATGTGACACAGTCATCATTGCAGGCTTCAGAACAGTCCCACAGGACCTTGGAGGGCCACCTGTCCAACCTACAGGAGCCTGGCCACCACCATCTCGGCCAGGCTCAGTCACACAGCTTGCACCCCTAGCTGTTCTCCAGAGGGTTGAGGGAGAGGGAGAAAAAAGAAAGTTAACAGCAAAAATTAGATGTGGGAGGCAGGCACTGGGCCTGGGATATGAACTCTGTTCTCAATTTTGCTACCGATGAGCTTGGGAAACTTACTTTAATCCATTTTTCCATCTCTATGATGAAGGTTTAGACAAAAAGAGTTGTAAAGCCCCTCAAAGGCTGGCTGAAAAGAGATCAGCACACACCGAGAGGTAGCTGTTGTGCAGAAGCAGCTTACAAAGTACCAGAGTTCTGTCCCTTTGATCCACCCACCCACCCTGTAGCCACTGGAAAAGGGAAGGAAGAGGCACACCACACATGAGGGCCATCACCTTTGTCCCCTGCAGTCAACAGAAGCAGATCTGGAAAGCCAGCAAGGATTGAGGGCGTAGAGCAGGACCACTTCAAGGCAGGCCAGGCATCACCTGGAAATCTGTTAGAAATGCAGATTTCCGGGCCTCATCCCAGACCTACTGAGTGCATAGGGATGCCTTGACCCTGTGACCTGTGTTCACAAGCCCTCCTGGTGCTGGCTGTAAAGTCTGGGAAACACAGGAGCCAGGTACACTCCAAGGGCTCAGGCAGATCATTTGTAAATAGAAAGTTCATTTGGGCAGAATAAAAAGAAAGGGGAAATAAATCCACAACAAAGGGGCGTGGTGTGGGGAGGCCCACATACCTTGCTCTCCGCTTCTTCACCCGCCGTTCATGCTCAGCCTCTTCGTAATACAATTCGTTGTGGCTGGAGTCCCTGCGCCGAGCGGCCGCAGCGATCATGGCCCGGGACTGACCTGTGGCATTGTTACTGGGGCCTTTGGGGAAAGGACGAGGAAGAAGAGCTTTACTACCAAGGGGCTGGGAAACAGCAGATAACTAGAACCGCAGTCCATCAGCATGGTCCACCCAGCCCCCAAGAAGCCACATACAGTCCCTACAAGTCACTTCCCAGGAGGGGGAATAGGACCCTGGCTCCACTTTCCCTATGACCAAAGCAATGAGAGCAAGGAAATCTAACCCCAATCTGATCAGGGGAAATAGAGAAGGATCTCAGAATGCTCAACACTTAAGACACTGGCCAAAAAACAACACCCAGAGTGTGCTGAAGATGTCACTTACCATCTGTTACACAAAGTTTCAGTTTGGCCATAAGGGCAGCTGGGACATCACATGTCAGCAAACAATGAGAGAGAATGAGCAGGGATGGGAGAACAAGGACAGACAGAGAAAAAAGAAAGTCAAGGGACATGAGACACTGGTCACACACAGGAAGACAAGCTAGGCTGGAACGTCACGGCAGCCACAACGTTTACAGAAAATACCCACGCTTAAGGACATGCAAAATGGCCCATCTGTTAATTCAAACTTAGAACCACCTTGGTTCTATCACTGCTGACCTTCTTATCAGAAAGACACGGCAGATTTCAGGCTTTCTAATAATGGGTGGCTTACTTGGCTGGTGACTTGATTTCACTAGGGAGAATCTACCTAAGTTTTTAGATCACAGGTGGAATTTACCAGACCTTCAGGATTTACCAGGAAGCTCTCACCTTGTTCACTGCCCCGAAAAGGCAGGAAGGATATTGCCACCAGAAATGGGCATAAATAAATCGACTTGTTGACAGCATAATCCTCTTCTAGAGTTGCAAAGCTCTTACCCTGACCCAAGGTGCCCGGCAAGAATGACACTGGGGTCTTGTTTCTTGCACTTTACCATCTGACACCCTGAAACACAACTTGGACTTCCCCAGCCTGGCCACCAACCTCCTGCCATCTACCTCCTAACCAGGACGGAGAAGTGTCTCCTAAGCATTTCACCAGGTGCCCGAACCACCGAAATTTCTAATCTGAATGGATCTGGGTAGCTTTCTGAGTCTTTTTATAACTTCTTCAAATTTTCAAAAGTTGCCCTTTCCTAACAGCTTTCAATATATGCGATTCCCAGCAGGAGGCAGGAAACACACCCACTGTTGTCTTCAATCGTAAAAATCCCCAAATGAATAAACTTCCCACATCGTCAACATTCCTCTGCAAATGTTTGCCTACATTCAAAAAAAAATAAATAAAAAGGAGAAAGAAATTGTTCTGGAATGAGAAGGTACACAGGTAAGCACAAAGAGAAGGTAGAATCCAATATACCACGACATTTAAACTACACCGTCACTCCAATGTGCCCCTGCACACACCGGACACGGTTTCCAGGTACATACCATCTACGTTGTAGACTTTCAGCCCGGCCATGTGCTTGGCTGCTCGGAATTTGGAGGCTGTGAGGAGGTTCGGGTTATAGATGGTGAAATCTTTGTAGTAATTTTCCAGAACCACCAAAGCTGCTCGTTGGATGCTGCAGAAAGAAGGTGAGATTAATAGAAAGGCTTTTTCAAGGGATAAGCAGGTCCTCAGTGAAAAATCCTCTTTCTGAGTCAGGCTAAGTAACAAAACATAAGGATAATTTCCCTCCAAAGTCGGCTGAGCTCCCCACACACCCTGTGTCACCAGGATGAGACCTCAAAGACCACACTGAGTCTCACTGACATATGGCTTCCCTGTCTTTCTCCGGGCTCCGTGATTAGCTGTATTTCATCCGGCCAACAGTTGGAAGAGGAAGAAGTGACAAAGTGTCATGGACATTTAGACATAGGTTGTGTGCAGTATTTCCTATTTTTCCTCGGTTTACAAAAGAGAAAACTGAGGATGCCAGAAAGGGCAAGAGACTTAAAGATGGTCACAGAGCTCATGAGCGAAAGAACAAGAGACTCAGGTTTCCAAGGACCTTGTTGAGAGTTCTGTGTCATACGCCACCCTGCCCCCAGGAGTAAGGAATCCTGGGGCTTAGGTCTATATCGATCAGCAGCACAATGGCAGTCACATAAGGGCAGAGTCCTTAAAAGAAGGTGACAGCTGAGATCACTTGAGCTTCATGGTCCACAAGGCCTCCGACCCCTGGACTGGCTCTCAGCAGGATGCACGCAGAGAGTGGCCATCTCTCTCCCAGTGCTCAAGGTCTCTAAGCTTTCATCTGCTAGAACCATGGGTGATCCCTGGGGAAGCAGAGGACAGGAAACGTCCACTGGGAGGAGTGTACATGGGGGGAGGGCACCCATACTCAGGAATGAGCAGGGGGTGACACAGGAACACACTCCTGGTGCCAGATGCAGGATAAACATGACCTCAAAGAGGAGTTTGCTACAATAAGACCAAGAGTTTTACATGCCCCATCTCTCTTGGCCCATACGATCATTCAAGGCAAGAACACTGAAGCTCAACAATGTTGGGTCAGACACACGGGAGAGCTGGGATTCTGATGCAGACTCAAACCTCCTACCTGGGCTCTCTCTGCTATAAGATGGAGCCCCTAAGTATGAGTGTATCCTAATATCTGTAGATCTCCAAGCTCTTCACCAGCCATCAGGGTACTAAATACCATAACTCTGTTTTTATCTTGCCCTTTTGATTCTCATTCCTAGTTCTCTGCTGAGTCTTGTGAGGGTGATTTATAATAGCTGGAGCACCCAGCGGGTGGGGGCAGGCAGTGTCTTTGATTCCTGGATGACCATGCTGCATTCCAACACTCTCAGGGAAGCCCAGGGATCTCCACTTCACACCAAGACAATGAGGCCCCTGGCCTACCAGCTGGACAGCAGAGAAACTGCCCTGTCCCCTTAGGGCTCTGCTTTAAGAGTTTAATACAGAGTCCAAAGACAATCTAGAAGTCAGTCAGCTAATCTCCTTGAGAGAGCAGCCTCAATTAGTGATCTGCATAATAACACACACACACACACACACACACACACACACACACACACACACAGAGTCATGTAAACCAAAGGAACACTGTCAGGGGAAATTTGGTGAGGATCAACTTTGTGTAATGGAAATCTAAGATTCCTAAAAGCCAATTCCTATTTTGAAAGTCCTAGTCATCCCATCATTCAGTGAATTACTCACCATTTATTTTGAGGGGAGTGGGGGTACTGGGGGCTGAACCCAGGGGTGCTCAACCACTGAGGCTGTTTAAAGCCTCACTAAATTGCTAAGGCTGGCCTCAAATTTGAGATCCTCCTGCCTCAGCCTCCTGAGTCACTAGGATTCAGGCATGTGTCAGTGTACCCAGCTCACTCACCATTCTCATACTTAGGGACCTGCATCCGCCAGCACTGGGACTATAAGGATAGAGGAAGGATAGCCAGGTGCATGGAATGTGGCAATGTGACAATGAGCACGCTCTTATTCCAGAATACATGGGGACTGCACAAGCACACAGAAGAGCTAATGAGGGTGCAAGATCAGCTTTCCTGGGGAGGTGGCCCTTGAGCCGTGTTTTGTGTCACTGTGGACTTCTGTGCAGACGTCCACCCTGCTTGTCCTGAGCTCTTGGTGGCCCTCCAGTTCACTGTGCTCCCAACCTTCTCCCTCACCCTCTGCCTGTGGCATTCTCCCCAGGGGGGCGGGTACTTCTCCATGCCGACTGCACCCAGAGGCTTGCCACGCCCCGCCCTGAGTAGTGCACGCACATGCGTCCTTGCACACTTTACTCCTGGCCCTGTCCCCAGGCTGATTTTCCAGAGTCTTTGGGCTTTTGTGGGACAGGGAGCTCCTTTGCACAGACATGAGCCTCAGTCACACAGACAGACACTGGGGACCACGCTATTTCATCCCATGCTCCTACACTGACCTAGACTGTCCCTGGGTGCCTGGCTTCTAGCAGAAAATTATTTCCCTGATCAAAATTTTAAGATGAAATGGCAATTTTAAAGGTTCTCCTCAGGCCCAGTTTCAAAGTAAAACTCTCCTGCGGTTATAGGTTTTGCATTTCTATTCAGCAAGGCCACGAGGAGCAGCCCAGGGAATCCCACTAAGTCTGTCGGTGAGGAAATAACTGCGATCTGCAACGCCTCCAGCCCACGACCACCAACAAGTACCCTCTGCTTCCTGGAGAAGGGGCTCTGTCCTTGCCCCGCTCCAGCAGGACTCCCATCCTGCTGACTTCCAGCAGACACCCTCCAAACTGGGGCAAGTCCCTGGCATCTGACCGTGGAGCAAAGCCTAGGCATCCCCTGGAAAGTGCACAGGGTTGGGACAGGTACCACTGGACAGAGACCTGTTAAAGTAGAGGTCTCAGTCTCCTGAAGGCCTGAGACCTGCTGCTCTGAAAAACCACGCAAGGGAAGAAGTGCAGGCATCCTCCTCTGGTCTAGCACCTCCTCAGAATGACTCAGAGACAGCAGGGGACCTGGCTGGCCGCCCAAACTGACAAGCTAAGACTGGCACAAGCTAAGACTGGCGCTGAAGGACTCTCAGCGTCTTTTATAAATGCCTCCAAGAGCTGTGCACACTCTCACCTACAGAGAATGGTCTGACACTCAACACATCTAGCAATACTGGGGAATGAGAATTTCCACAGGACTCAGATAATACTTCACCAATATGCCTAATTAAACAAACAAACAACAACAATAACAACAAACAGTTGTGATCTTTTGGACAGCATCTTCAACAAATGGTGCTGGGAAAACTGGAAATTCATATGCAACAAAATAAAATTGAACCCCTATCTCTCACCATGCACAAAACTTAACTCAAAGTGGATCAAGGACCTAGGAATTAAACCAGAGACTCTGCGTCTAATAGAAGAAAAAGTAGGCCCTTATCTTCATCATGTGGGATTAGGCCCCAACTTCCTTAATAAGACACCTATAGCACAAGAATTAAAACCAAGAATCAACAAATGGGACGGATTCAAACTAAAAAGTTTTTTCTCAGCAAAAGAAATTCCTGAGGTGAACAGGGAGCCTACATCCTGGGAACAAATTTTTACCCTTCACACATCAGAGAGAGCACTTATCTCTAGGGTATATAAAGAGCTCTTTAAGATAAGCACCCTCCCCCCCGCAAAAAAAAAAAAAGAACTAATCCAATCAATAAATGGGTCAAGGACCTGAACAGACACTTCTCAGAAGAGGATATACATTCAATCAACAATATACAAAAAAAAAAAAAAAAAGCTCATGATCTCTAGCAATCAGAGAAATGCAAATCAAAACTACTCTAAGATATCATCTTACTCCAGTAAGAATGGCAGTCATTATGAAGACAAACAACAACAAGTGTTGGCTAGGATGTGGGGAAAAAGGTACACTCATACACTGCTGGTGAGACTGGAAATAAGTGCAGCCAATTTGGAGAGCAAATTTCCAAATTCCTTGGAAAGCTGGGAATGGAACCACCATTTGACCCAGCTATTCCCCTTCTCGGACTACACCCAAAAGAACTAAAAACAGCATACTACAGGGACACAGCCACATCAATGTTTATAGCAGCGCAATTCACAATAGCTAGACTGTGGAACCAACCCAGATGCCCTTCAAACAAAGGCAAACCCTTCCACTAATCCCAATCTCTAGACCAGGTCATCTCTGGGCAAGGAGGGAGGTGAGAAAAATCAAGTTGGTGAGAAACTGCCACTGCTCTTACTATGATTATGTTCAGAGAGCAAAGGCAGTGACCTGGCTCAACAGACCCCATGCAGACCTGAACTACAGTCAGGGGGAACCAGACTATGGAGATGGCTCCATCAAAGCCTCAGGCAAGAAGCCTTCTCCCACGATAGAGAACTCTGAGCTCAAACATAGAGAAGCCTGAGCTCAATCAATATTACATGCCAATATTCTCCAAGGAAATATACCTTCCAGACCACACAGATTCGTGGAGAATAGCATGCAGTGATACGCCTGGTCATACCAAAAGAAATTCATTCAACATCTACATGTGAAAACAGAAACACAGGAACCCCAGATACACGCATGAAGACAACACGGACCAAGAGGAGGGTGGTGTCATCAGTGGAAAAGAAGCTCCTCTGTTGGGCTTGGGCCCAACCGGAACCCAGGGGAAGGAAGAGGGAGCAAGGGGTCAGCACAAATGCTGAAGGAATCTGACAGCTACGACTTCACTTAAAACCCATTGTTGACCAGCTTGCCTTACTGGACTATTTTCTTTTTTTAAAAAAATTTGTTATTATTAGTTATACATGACAGGAGAATGTATTCTGACATATTATACATATATGGAGTATAACTTCTCATTCTTCTGGTTGTACATGATGTAGAATTACATTGGTCATGTGATCACATATGCACATAGGATAGTAATGTCTGATTCATTCTACCGTCTTTCCTATTCCCATTCCCCCTCCTTCCCTTCATTCCTGTTTGTCTAATCCAAAGTACATCTATTCTTCCCCCTCCCTCCATCATTGTGAGTTAGCATCCACATATCGGAAAGAACATCAGCCTTTGGCTTTTCGGGATTGGGTGCCCTTCAACAGATGAATGAATAAAGAAA